GGGGCGGAGCGGGCTAGGGGCGGGGCCTGGGTGCGCAGGGCGGGGGTGAAAGGGGGCGCGCAAAGATGGAGGGAGGCGGGGACCCTGGGGAGCGGGTGCAGGGAAGGAGGATGGAGGGTCAGCGCTAGCGTGGGGAGGACCGGGAAGGAGGTGGGAGAGGGAGGCAGCGGACCCGAGCAGCGCCGGGCTTGGGGGGCAAGACCTGGGGCTGGGGGAGACTTACACAGAGTCGCACTCAGGACGCCGGGAAGTCCCACCCCTCCTCCCCCAGCAGCAGGCGGCCACCGGCGCCCACGCATGCTCCAGTGTAGGCCGGCGTGTGCCCGGACACACTGCTGTGATTGTGAGGCTCAGGCTGTCTGGTGCTGGAGCGGGGTGGATGCCCAAGAGAAGCGGGGGGCCTTGGGCCACACCCCCTCGTGCACGTTTGAGTAAGAAGCAGGTCACACCTCGCCTGAGAGGACGCTGGAGGGCTGGTGAGCAGGGCGAGCTCGGGAGGCTGCTGGAAGGTAGTGTGCGATCCAGGCGGCAGCATTTCCAGCAGGGGATATGACACCCCTTTTCCTTCATGCCAGGGCACCCACGCCTGACCCAGAGGTGGTGTGAGCCAGGCTACTCCTAAGCGTGGCAAGGTTCTTGTGAAGCCACAATTGTGCCACACCAGAATTACAAGGCAACAAAATGCCATTGGGCAAGAAGTGCCAGCACCTCTGTGGGTCCCAGCCAGTGTGGATTCCCCAGCAGGGGAGCTGGAGATCCAGCCAGATCTGGGGCAAAACCTGGGGTTCTGAAGCTCCCTGGTGATGCCCTGCACCTGAATATTGGAACCTCAGGACAAAGTATCTCACCTTACTGAAGGCTTGGGCCTTTCAGGGTTTCTAATCTTCCTGAAGAAAGGTGTTTGCTGAAGTGAGTCATGCCTTACTTTTCTATCACCACTCGCTAGACAACTTTCCCATCTTTTCCAGGTTCCTGAGCTTAGAAGTATGGCCGGGACTGGTGAGATGGCTCAGTGGTCTAAAGCACCTACTTAGAACAAGCTCAGCAAAGCACAGGGACCGCGGTTCAATCCCCCAGCACCACATGCCAGCTAGCCCCGCCCCCTGGTGGGTTGAGCTGGCCCCCAGCCACCGTGCAGGGCAGATCTCCTCCATACACCTCAAACCAAAGCCTGCACCCAGCATCAGGAGAACACATGGAACCTGGAACTTGATATCAGTCATCTAGCAAGAGGTCAGGAGATCAAGTGGGAAGACCCAAGTTCCAAGCAACCAAGGCGCAACTACCAAAGAACGTATAAAGCGAGGATGCATTCAAAACTGGTTAGGGCCCTAGTATGATTGATGATTCTTGGTACAGTGACCATTTTCACCAATTACTAACTGAAGTCAAGGTCAAGACAAGGCCAGGCACCGTGGTGCACACCTGTAATCCCAGCATTCGGAAGGCTGAGGAGGATTGCTTCAAGCTTGAGGCCAGCAGGGCTACATTGTCCGTTCAAGGCCAGTCTGAATTACAGAGTGAGACCCTGTCTCAAAACAGAAAAATCAGACCAGGGATATAGCTCAGAGGCAGAAGTACCTGCCTCGCAAGCACAAGGTCATCCGTTCAATTCCCCACACTCCTCCCCCCAAAAAAAGTCAGACAAGCATTTTCTCCCAGTCGATAAAATGGCACCAAAGGTAAAACTTAGCTATTTGTTAAAGGAGTATGTAACACAAGACCTAAGAATCAAAGAAAGATTAGTTCTGTATAATTTGAACTTGTCAGGAGGATTTCAGAAATAAAAGTTTATTTCCAGCTTTTATTAAGAAACAGAACATAGCAGAAGGAATTTCTGTAGCTCAATCATTAACCCAGTCTGGGAGGCTTTGGGCCAAGGCCACTTCCACAGTTAGGTGACCGTCTGTAATACACTCGTTTCTAGAAGGCTGGGAAATTGCCCTGGGGACAGTGACCGTGGGCCCCTCTGCTGGGAGACAGAACCGAATTGTGTAGTGCAATGACTAATCTGCCCGCGCTTGGCGCTGGGCAGTGACCTCATTAAGTTACCATGCTTGCAAAGCCGCTCCCACATACTGAGCTTCTGGTGCAAGCTGTGCACCCCACACATAGCGAGGGTGCTGCCATCTCAGCCTTTGGAAACCCTGTCTCTCCACTCTCTGGGGAAACCATAGCCACCTAAGCCACTCCAGGCAGGCAAGAGCCACCATGCTCCATGTGGACCAAGAGCTCCACTCTGTGCTTTTTCCCATGTTCTGTTTGTTACTTTGAAAAAATACCAGGAGCTGGGGAGATGGCTCAGTAGAATAAGCACTTCCTTGGCAAGTGCAAGGTCCCTGAGTTCAATCCCCAGTTTCGCAAAAAAAAAAAAAAAAAAAAAAAAAAAAAAAAAAAAAGAGAGAGAGAGAGAGAGAGAGAGAGAGAGAGAGAGAGAGAGAAAGAAAAAATACCAGTGAGAACTCTTGGGGGAAACGTAAGTCATCACGTCACAGCGGCGATGTTACAGGGCAACCATGGGCTGGTGGCTACAGCTGGCAGAGGTGAAAGCACTGTGGATGTTCACTTGTGAGCATCTGCAGACATGAGACGAGAGGGGCCCAATTTTAGGTTCCTGGAGGCTGCAGGGTGAGCGGGGACTGGGGACCCAAGTGTCCTGTGGCTACAGTGCAGATGACTCCAGAGCGCTGTGGTCCAGGAGCACAGGACTGCAGGGCCTCTGGCAGCACGGCCAGAACACGTGCACAGAGACAATGTCCAAGCAGAGGCCTCTGTCGTCCTCCTCCTCAGCGCTGGAGCCACTTTGCCTGTGGAGCGTGGAGAGCAGAGCTTCCTGGGCCTTACTAAGTCCATTCCACATTCAAAAGCAGGTCGGCTTCTCCCCAGGGAGGCCACACACACCATTTGCAGTGAGTGGTGGGTGAGTTCCAGTTTCCCTGGCCCAGAGGCCCCTGAATGGCTCTTTGTTGTGTTTCCTGCAACCAGGCAGGGCCAGCACTCAGGGGTCCAAGAGGAATAGCTGAAATGTGAGTGGCTGTGTTTTGTGCTCTAGGTTTATTTTGGGATATCGATAAGGACCACAGATCCCAAGGGATGCCAGAGAAGGCCAGGCTGTGCTTGGTCTCAGACAGTTCGGAGGGAGGGGCTCCAGGGACAGGAGCAGGTTTCTGAACTGGTGGCTGAAGGCGTGGAGGCCAAGTGCAGCTGACCCTGGACAGGGAGAGTGGATCCAGAGGCCAAGATGATACGCTTCCACTGCGAGGCCCAGAACAAGAGAGGAAACCAAGAAGATGGCCGGAGGGGACAGCAGACAGGCTCCTGCAGGACGCCCTTGGGCGGGGACCGGGCTCCACCTTGGGTCTTGATCTAGAGCTGGGAAATAGTTCAGGGCTCTGTTTGCCGCCTGCTGAGGATGCTTGGAGTCATCTGCAGCTTGAACAGGTAACGAATGGAGCACCTTCCCCTCCTATCGCTCCCAGGCTGATCATCCGAGAACCTTGCCCTGCGCCTGAAGGAAGCCTCTCATCCGGGCTGACATCTGGACTTTGATGTTGACACGGCCGCCCCACTGCCATTCTATAGTTGTGATCATTCCCATACAAATTGGTGTTGCTGGGCTGGGGAGATGGCTCAGGGGTGTAAACATCTGCCTGGCAAGTGCGAGGTCCCAAGTTTGATCCCTAGTACACACACACACAAGGTGTCGGTGAGTTCAATAGGGTTTAGGGTCTAGTGTTCAGAGGTAGAAGAAAGATAAAAACTGGAAAGTCTTCTCCCTGCACTGGCCTTGGTCCCCCAGTGCCTCTTGCAGAGACAGCTATTATGGCAGGTGTCTGGTTTTCCTTCCAGAAATGTTGTTTGCCGGTTACAAACATAACCATCCCTGGTTACACCGAATAGCACGTCACACTTTTGCTGCATGTTGGCTTCTCACCCTCAGCGCAGGGAGTGGGTCTGTCAATGCGTGGAGCTTCCATGTTCTCTGCAGCATTGTGGGTTGCTGTGGTACCCGGAGCCCTACACAGTGCCCCAGCAAGGGGGACATAGGTCATTTCCAATCCTGAATGCACATCCCCAAGGACCCTCCACACAGTGGGAGCACAATATGACCTCAAGCTCACGCAACAGAGTGGGACCAAACTTACATTTTTCACAGATGAAAAAAGGTTTAATCTGCATTTGTTATTAGAGTGAACAGCATTCTTTTGGGGATTTTTTTTTTTTTTTGTACAGGGTCTTGCTATATAGCTCAGACTCATAGTGATCCTCCTGCTTTAGCCTCCCCAGTGCTGGTATTACAGGTGACGTGTATGCCATCATGCCTGGTTTCGGTGGCTGGCACAGCGCGGGACTGACACAGCATGTGGTACTGGGGATCGAACCTGGGTCCTTGCAGTTGCCAAGCAGATGCTTAGACTGCTGAGCTATCTCCCCAGCCTTTTTCAGACTTTATTTAAAATTATTTATTTATTGGACACAGAGTCTCACTATGCAGTTCAGACTCACAGTGATCCTCCTGTCTCAGCCTCCCCAGTGCTGGGATTACAGGTGTGTGCCACTACACCCAGTTTCAGGGCCGCCATGGTGTGCCCAGGGTTCTAGGGCCAGCACAGAATGCAGTATCAGGGATTGAATTTAGGACCTTGTGCTTGCCAGGCAGGTGCTTGGACCACTGAGCTATCTCCCAGCTCTCTTTTTTGAAATTTTTGAGACAGGGTCTCACTATGCAGGCTGGCCATGAACTTCCTTTATAGCCCAGGCTGGTCTCCAACCTATGGTGATCCTCCTGCCTCAGCCTCCCGAGTGCTAAGACCACAGGTGTGCACCACCACACCTGGCACAACATTCCTTAAACTATGT